GTCCTATTAAGAGATGCGAACTTCTAATGACGAACCTCATAAAAAGTAATGTCACTATCATGATTATAAAGTACGTAAACGAATCATCATATCAAAAATAGTATCGCGCGCAATTCTCCATCTTGCGCTAAGGTGGAAAGTGCAACTTCAAGAGTAGCATCTGCCACATGCGTTTTTTTTTTTTCGAAAATGCAAAAGGAACGCTAAAAAACAAATTATTTTATTTTTTTTGCAAAAACGCAAAAGAAAGGATAAAAAAACATTTTTTTCGAAAACGCAAAAGGAACCATAAAAAGCATTTTTTCGATTTTTTTTTTTTTGAAAAAACGACGATCAAAGTAAAGGTAACTAAGTAAGACAACGTTGTTAGCCAAAGAGATATTTTTAGCACCTACTTAACGATTAACCTTGAAGCGGTAATATCATTTTCTCCGTATGATATTGCTCGTAACGAGTCAAAGTCAACGTTGAATAGTGGGCGCGCGCCTGACACAGAGTTGCGCGAAGGTACCGCGTGCAACTTCAGAACTTGTGCTTGGAGGGCGCGCGCAACTTTGACAATTGTGCGTGCCACCTGGTAGGTTCGACATTTTTTTTTTTTTTGCGAAAACGCAAAAAGAATGATATATTTTATTTTTTTTGTCGAACCATAATTTTTGCGAATTTTTTTTTTATCATATCTCTAGGTAGCAAGTTGGAATTAGTTAGATTAGACACGTATTCATGTAGTCACATAAGCACATAAAAGGAACCGTCGAAGCATACAATGTCATTCTAAGGTCAAGGCTTGGGTGTCCAAAGGTACCATATCTTAAGGGATTATGCACGAATGAATCACTCAACGTGTTGACCCACGACATAGCCCTCCCAACATTTTGTTGGCGATATGGGTGGGATGATTGTTATTGATTTTGGGATAGAAGCCTAGTGTTGGCAACCCCTAGTCAATGAGTCAATTCCCAATGGTTAAACTGTGCTATGATTATGCATGATGCAATGTCGCTTGTTTGATTTTTACTTTTGTGAAAAAGGAAGATATTATGCGTTCGAGTCTCGCACTCCAACTAGAGATTATCCAAGTTAGTTCTCGTTACAATCCATAGGCAACCTAGTGTTGGAAACCTTGAACCATAACTACGAACTAATCCTGTAACCTCTAAGTCCCCAGTGGAGTCGCCATTGTAAGGAGGGTGATCCCATCGTAAGGGGTCCTCTCCTTAAGTACCCATGGCCCTTAAAAGCCTAGGACCTTACACTTGTTAGGTTGTATTAGGATTAGAATTCCCGACTGTTTGGGAGACCTTGAATTAGAAATGATACTCTCATCACGCTTTTTTGTAAGAAACAAGTAGGAGTCGCCAATAAGTTTTAGGAAAACTCATAAACCTCGTTCATGCCTTTCTCCCAAGTAGAGTTCGCGGGATAATTAGCACGAATCATAAGTTTCCCACGCCCAAATTGGTCTACATAAACCAGAAATGAGTTCGGGAGCGAGGGTACTAAGATAACGTTCCCTTTAGAGGGGAATCACTATCTTAGCTCTAGTACGGCCTCTACTAGCTCTTTCTTTTTCACAATTTCATTACCAAACAATATATGCAACGTGATACCTAAAGACTAAGTTAGTTGGTTTTATTTACAAGCATTAATCACGTAGGAATTACATTGCAAAAGTCGTTATTCTTATTTAATCAAATTCGTGAAAAGGACAAGAAAATAAACAATATTCGCCTTGGCTTAAGTGATCAACCAACAATTATTTAATTCAATTCTAATCTTTATTTAACGCAATATACTATGTGGAATTGATTAATTAATAATTTTAAAGGTGATTACGAGAATTTACCACTTCTTTTTGCTAGATCTCCGTTTAGAACACTTATGGACTCCTTGTTGGGGAACCTCCACCATAGTAACAAAATATTAAAGGGATGAGTGTTTAGGACAAGAGGGTTTAGGTTGCACAAGTTCACAAGTACTTCGCCAGAGTTTTTGGTTATTTTTCTGTCTGTATAACCCTCTGTTTAAGCTCTTATTTATAGGGAATGATTAGGTTTAGGGTTACGAGTATTCTGCCGCAGCAGGTGTCGCACGCAACAGGATGAGTCGCGCGTGACACCCCAACGCAAGTGACTAGGTTGCGCTGCTACGGGCAGCACAACTAATTGTCTTGCACGCGGCTTTATGGTAAGATTGGATTTTATATTTTTCGTATAATTCTGAATCTTCCGCAGAACAACTCTAGAGGTTGCGCTAGGTGTCGCGCGCAACTCAATTAGTTGCGCTGGGTGTCGCGCGCAACTCAATTAGTTGCGCGCGACAGTCCAGCGCGACTGTTTAACATGCGCACGGCTTTTTCTGCGGCAGCATTAAAATTTAACCTAGGCGCTCAAACTCCGTCATTATTAGGTTTTAAGCACGGGCTAAGCCTAATTATGATCGGGTTTAGTTAATTGGACCTTTGTTTTGGCTTTATTCTTTAATTCGGGCTAGTCTTTTGTGTTTTGTGGCTTAACCAGTTCTCCCTAAGTATTCTTCACTTCGATCCAACACGAAGATGGTTTTATTGATCGTCATTGCACTTCATGTCGGGACAGGATGCCAAAAGTAGATGTCTACAGGCGGCAGAATAGGATTAAAATTCTAGGGTGGCTGAAATTGAAATGGTTGAACTGGAATAGGGGTTTGAGTATGAACAACTTCGCTCCTACTGGTCTCGGTCGAGCTGGTATATCTGGAGAGAGATTGGTTAGAGAATTCATTCGGCATTTTTGGGGTCGAGGCCGTGTCCGAGTAGGCCGCCCGCTCCCTTTGCTTGTGCCGCATATATTCCCTTGCATCCCTCCAGCACCGCGACAATTAAGGATCTTCCCTCCGAGGCTGTCTAATCTGCCCCCCCCCCCCCCCCCCGCTCAGCCGACTAAGTTTTCTCAAGGAGCTTGGACAGATTCATCCGTGGCACCGTGGGAGATCTTCCTTGCGGTCGTCGAAAAAGGGTGGTCCCAGCATCCATAACATTGATTGCCTTGCTCTGATTTGTCCTTGGAGCACCATCTTCCTCCCTTCTGGACGACTGTCTGGAGGTAGATGGCCTCTTACTCTCGAACTCCTTTCGAAGTTTGTTCAGAGCGGCCTTTAGGGAAGCAACAGTAACTGGAGGGTCCTCGACCTTATGGAATGAGGCGATTAGAGGGTCACTAGAATTTATTGTTGCAGCTATGTCTTCTACATGGTCGTCCTGACCTGGTCTAGGGCCGGCATTAGGTGTTTGACCATTTATTTCCATTACGTACGAGTATCCCCAAAGATGACACCAAATGTTTTGGGGTTTTTTGGAATCCCTCGGGATACTGGTCACGCTTTGCCGGCAACGTGACTGGGACACCTGCAAAACAGCGGAGCTCCGGTTTATCGTAGATCCGCCTCCGGCGATCAAGTTACAGACCGGAAAACGAAGTAAAGCTAGAGAGAGAAAGTAGAGAGAAGTTGGAGCTATTTAGTGCTCTATTTAATGTTATGTCACCATCCGCCCCTAAATGATTGGAGTATTTATAGGGGTGGGGAACTGTGCCCCTTTAGGGTTATTACCCTAAAATGACGCGTTTTGATTGGCGGCGCAATCAAGTTGCGACACGTGTCTAGGGGTCAGCATCGTTTTGCGGCTTTCTCGGGACTTGGGCCTAAGGAAGCCCTTTTATTTCATTTTAGGTGCTCTCCTTGAACTTGACATGTGTCATCTTCCCATAGGGGCACATGTCATCTTCCCATAAGGGCACGTGTCACCTTTTGTTTAGGCCACGTGTCACTACAGGATTGGACCACGTGTAGGGGGTATTTTTACCTTAAAGAATTGAAGGCTACAGTTTAGGAAAGAGAAGAGATGTAGGCAGTGCTACCTACTAGATTGTTCAAATCCGAGGTACCTGAAAACCCGGGTACCCAGAGTTTTGGTAGTTGTTAATTTGTCCCATGTCCCGACCTGAATATCTCGGGTACCCGAATTATTCGATTCAGGACATAGGGTACCCGGATTTCTTTTTATTTTTTTTAAAAATAACTTTTTACTTAATTTTATGTTCTTATACCTGTTGTAATTTAATTTTTTTATTAAAAAAACCTGTTGCATTTTTTTGTTAAAATTCCAGACAAATTACAACAAAATTAACAATACCTGAAGCAAATTAACACGACATTTTCTTGTCCAATTTCTAACCTAATGAATATGGTATTCTTGTTGTCCACAAATAATATCTTAAATGGAACTAAAGAACTATTCACAGGTAGCATTTCACGTTCATTGTTTGAACTGAGGATTTGAGTCGCGTGAAGGAACTCAAGGAGTAGGGAGCACTGAAGCAGATCCCGTCCTCATGGAGCACTGAAGCAGCCGCGTGAAGGAACTCAAGGCAGGAAGCACGGTATACATACCCCTTCCACAAACGTTTGATGAGAGAGAGAGGCGTTTGATGAGAGAGAGGAAGAGGAAGATGAGAGAGAGGAGGAAGAGAGAGAGAGAGAGAAGCGTTTGATGAGGGAAGTCAGGGAACCCTAATTTGCAAACTGAATGTCTAAACATATTGGGCTGGGCTTAGTTTGAGGGAGGGGTTTTTTTTTTCAAAACAATTTTAATTTATTATCGGGTAGCCGAAATTAGAAAATGCGGCCCATGTCCCGACCCGGATAACATGCAATTTTCCCGGGTTGGGTACCCGCCCTGAAAAACAGTTTTTTTTTTTTTTTTTTTTTAAATTTCCCATCGGGTATTTACCGGTCATGGGAAAATCAGGACGGGACAATCTTGTCGGGTTTTTTTGAACAACCCTACTACCTACATAGGAATGTAGGTAAAAATTTATAGAGAATTGAAGACTATAGTTTAGAAAAAAGAAGAGAGAGAGCGGGATACCATGAAAAACACAAAACGAACTTTTATATATATTGGGCCCTGGGATACAATTCAGAACTACCATATACTAATCGAATACAAGCCCATTAACAATTCATAATACAAAATCTCATTATTGAAAAAGTGTTTTCAGCTCTAATTCTTCTTCCCACACTAACAGTTAAACCCTCTTTCAATACTCAGTTGCAAATTTCTCCTCTTTCAAAATCACGATGATTTTTTCAAGAGGAACCCAGAAATTACTTCAATCTACCAATGCAAGAAACCCTCAATTTCTTTTACAATTTCTTCGTGATTCGCCCCGCCATTTCTCTACAGGTTTTGAGCATCAACCTCAATCTCAACCTCCGCATTCATCTATTCCTTCCCCAACTTCAGGTTTTTTAATTTCTCACCCATTTTGTTCTAATTGTTATTTTATTTCTCAAGTTTTCAATTTTTTTTAGGTTTTATACACTAATATATCATTTTTATTACTAATTTTGCTGGGAATTGTTTGATTTTCGAATGACTATTTATTTTGCTCGAGCTATGATGTGATTTATACATTTAAATTGGTTCTTTGAAGGATTATTAATAAATTGGTTGTTAAAATGTACCTTATGTTGCTATTGAACTATAGTTAAATCATGTTTTTAGGAATAAACCAAAATACAATCAATCTGTTGAAACTTTGAATCATGGACTCATGGTTTAATTTTGTGGAGCATAGAAAATAAGGATGATTGTCGTATAATGTTGTGGGATTTTCGAAATATATCATCTTTGATGTCAAGTATGGATAATTAGCTTGGATTGTAATTTTATGGTGTTTGGAAAATTGATTTAACGTCAAAGTTTTTATTTTTTAGCATGATAGATAAAATTTGAGGTTTAAAAAAAACAATTTTTCTTGTTTGGGGGGCGTTAACCCGCTAATAATTATCGGTAATGGTAATAACCTAGATATTTGATTTTGTAAAACAAGCTCTGCCTTGCAATAAATAGCATTGCAACTCTGTCCTTATTTTGTGCTTTCTTTCTTGTTTCCAGTTTTCACTTTTAAGGTGATATTAAGTGGTAATGAAAATGAATGGAGAAGAGATAATTGTGGGATAACAAAAATTATCATGCACTATAGTTTAGGTTTATTTCTGAAAAATTACCTATGAAGTTGATCATTAAATTAAGTGATGGAAATAGATGTAGCTTCTAACATAATCTTAAATCAATATAGTAACAGTCTATAAGACTTGAAGGGTGATAAACATTAGGGTGGTTAAGATGATGTATCTAATTATAAAATCATGGTGAAGATAAACAACATACTTCGCATGTGATAGAAACTGCACTATACACCATAGGGCTGCTCTTAATTTTTTTTTTTAATAAAATGCTCAAGATGTGCCAAAATCCCTTTGTTTCATTTCAATATACTGGAAAGACTCTTTAGAGTTATAGAGTTGATGGCTATGTTACTCAAACTCTTTGTTTTACCTCAACTACTTGTGTTGGATCCTTGACACTTGAAAATGGGTTAGACACTTCGACTCTTTTTTTGGGATAAAATCATGAAAATTGTTCAGAAGATAAGTACGTAATATGCTTCAATGTACGGAACGAATACGAATTCGCAAAACGCTAGGTGGGAGTATTGTAATACGTTTGAGGTGTTTTTGTATTTTTGTAATACGATATAAATAATGCACCGTAACAAATATAAAGGGTTTTTCATAATAATAAAAAAAAAAGGGGAGAATTGGTATACAAGACATAAATAAGGAGTTCATGGAGGGGATGGGAGTATTAGGTCACCCTGCAAAAGAAACAAATTATAACAGAAAAGCAAAATGGAGACAAATAAACAAACCCTACCCTTGTTTGTCTATTTTTACTCTCCATCACTCCTCGTTAAATCTTATCTATGTGCATTGAGATATCATAATACAGTGAATACACTGATTCAGGAGTATTAATACGTAAAAGTATTGAGTATTGGAACGCAAGTATTAATACGGAATAAGCGCGGGGGGGGGGGGGTAGGGAAGTATTCTTGACTTGTGGACATGGGTACTTGAGCATGAGTTACATAGGTTAATGGAATAGAGTTACATAATTGTTATAAGTAATGGTATAATTGTGAAAATTTTAAGCTGTCTGGTCATTTAAGATGAAATGTTTGATTATCTTACAATGGTTTCTTCTACTTCATGGTTTCAATATTCTCCAAACTGGAGCATCCCTGGAATTTACACCTTGATTTGGTGTAGATTGGTCATCTGCAATATTTATTTTTGTTATAGTAAAAGCCTTTTCAATCTGGAGAATCCCTTGAATTTACACCTTGATTTGGTGTAGATTGATCATCTGCAATATTTATTTTAATTATAAAGCCTTTTCAGTCTCTTGTATAAGTAATTTTTACTAATGGTCATCTAACCTAGTTTTTGAATGGTTATAATGGAGTAGATAAGTACATTATTATGTGCTCATACGTCTTTTATAAGGGGATGGTATTCAGTGCACAACCAGTGAGGTTGCTCCTGTAAACTTTCTTACTAATTTTATGAGTGATGCTGTCTAAGAGAAGCTGGATGTTACTATGTTAGGTCAAAAATATTATGCATGCATGTGATAATTAAAGGTTCTTAATACTTCATGTGAACCTTCATTTTATGTTCATGGTCCCATTTCAGATAAGTTATTACAAATTCATAGGATTTAGTAGACTTGGAGACACGTGATGAAGCATAATGACATTGTCATTTTCTGTCTTTGTTGATGGCATTTTCTTTGATTGAGTAAATTGAAAAAATAGAATTTAAAGAGTGCAGATATTCTGGGCTTCTACTTTTTCATTAGTATCTTTGTTTTGTTGGTGCTGCATTCCATCTTCTCAAACTAAATTGCGTGCCTAATCATATATGGAAGATAAATTATTGTTATATTGATGGCTTTGTCACTTTTGTTATTATGAGATATATTGTCTTATGCCATTGTCACAATTTAGGTTCGGTCTATGGGAGGCTGTTTGGCATCTCATCAAATACACTGAAGACTGACATCATCAGTTTGTTTGAAGGATGCAACTTGACATTGGATGACATTAAGGTTGATTACAACAGGACATATCATCCGATGGCAATGTAATTTTCTTGATTTATAAAGCATGCATTGTGCAATTATTTTATGGTGTGCAACACATTTTGAAGTATTTTGGCTATGTTGTCCATCAATTTTTCTAATCATTGAGAAAACAATACATTCTTATGCAAAATGGTGAATAAAACGAGTTCAGTTGTATTGTGAGGGATCGATTATCATCATCTTCCTCATAAGTGTGGACGTTTATGAATTTATTTTCATATTTTTTAAAGAGTATTAGCTTTTTGTCATTGATGAGACTAGCTTGACCGTCGTTGACTTTAAGGTTTGGTTTGTTTGGTTACTACTTGGATCACCTACATCCATATCTTTTTCTGGGACCAATATTAACCCTTAAACGGATCCCTCAAAGTGTTGTACTGTTTTTGGATTAGTAAAGCATTTGTAAGCAGTAACTTTAAAGTTACTCTATCTCAGGCTGGTGCAAGTCCGCTCTGAATCTGATTATGGTACTGCCATTCGAGAGCTTACAAGGAAGAACCGATCTTTTAAATTGGAGAAGGTGAATCATTTGAGTTGTCTCCCCTTTAAATAATTTGTGTAGCTTCGGTGTATTGATATTGGTTTGTTCAATTTCAGGTAGTTGATCATCAACAATGGGATCTTGTAGCACCTTATAATGGAAGATATGTAAGTAGGGCTGCCTTTCGAAACTCTCAACGCCTTTTTTTTTTTTTTTTTGTCATTATCTCATTTGTTTTGACTTTTGAATGTCTTAATTCAAAAGGTGTACAAGTGCTTTAAGAAATGTGATCTTGTTGGACTCTAATTTTTGTTGAACATGATTCAAGTCCTCACAAAAAGTTGGTTCTTAGGCAATCTGAGTAATTTTTTTTTTTATTGCATCTATGTGCTTGTTGAATTTGAAGTGATCTGTAATTAATTTTGCAGACCGTTTGTAGGGAACTTGTTTAATGCTTTTGATTTCTGCTAAGTAGCAGCTGAAGCGCCATTCTCATTTTTCTATTTTCCTTTGAGTTGCTGTTATAATATCAATTGTCATTGCTTTAATTGTGATAACGGATCTGTAGATACTTTGAGACATTTTAGTCTTGCAATTGCCACTAAGCTGAGGAACCTATTTTGCTGTTTATTTGTATATAGTCGTTGAATATGGCTCTCATCTTGGAAGGTTTATTTAGAAGCACATTCACAAGACTCAAATTAGGCGTCATTTGGTTATATTGCTTGAAAGGGTTGGTATGTATTTGGAATGCATTAAAACCTTGCATGTCAACATGTGTTAAGTGTTTGAAATTGATACTAGGGGCACCTATATCTTGAAATCCTTGTATATGGTTTATCTAACGAGTGGGGGAAGATGGTTTCCTTAAATTTATCATTGGACCCTTGGTATTGACCTAAAGAATAAAAAACAGATGAAGCAGAAAAGTCTATGACCAGACCCCATTGATACAACCACACTCCTTTCCAGTTACTGCTTTTTCTCCACTTCCCTGTGCTAACCTTTGACACTCCTTCCCCTCTTATGATGACCTCGCCCCCTTCAGTTTTGTTCTGTGCTCTCTTTGCTCTCCTCGCAACCATATCCCACTTGGGCTGCTACTTAACCCCCTCAGTCTAGCACCTAGTAACATAAAAAATGTGAGAAATCATACCTTTCAATGATCCAACCTTCAATCTAGTGAGAGAGAGAGAAAGGGGTGTGGAGGGAGGGAGAGGGACAGTGAGAGAGGGGTAGCTTTGTATTCTGTTGATGCTATATTTTCTATGTACTATCTTATTGAACTGTCATGGGACGAGGGAAGGGTTAAACGAAGGAGAAGGAGACCGAAAATGACTTGGTTGGAAGGAGTTAGGAAAGATACGATGTATTTGGATTTGCATGGGGATGAGGTATTTGAATGTAAGTTGCAGGAAGATTTTAGTCGATGACTACACGAAATAATCACTTTTGGTTCATGTAGCCGACCCCACTTATGGGATTAAGGTTTTGATTGATTAATGGTTCATGACTGCACGAAATATCTTATTGAATTGTGTGTGCATTGTACTTCAGGTATGAAAATTATTTTTGCCTTGGAATGCATCTCCACTTGCCTTCTTATTTTCTGGAAATATTGCTTTGGATTGTAACTGTTTCTGTGCTGGTGCTTTTTATATGTGACACATACTGCTCTAATTTTCTGCTATTCAGGTATTATTCCGAGGAATACCACGGAATGCACTTTTGGAAGATGTGGAACGATTTTTGTCTGGCTGCAATTATGAATCTTCCTCCCTTGAATTGTTTACTAGGTCAGAACTTAATCATTCATACAAGCTTACAAGATAGCTTTGTGTCGTAATTTTTAAAGATTATTCAGATTAAAACAAGTACTGTTTCGCAACTGCAGGCAAATGCAATTTGAGCCTATGAGGATGGCAAAAGTAGGTTTCCCCTCGCAGCTTGAGGCAATGAATGCAGTAATCAGAAAGAATGGGGCTTTTTGTCTCAATAGCCGTATAACAGCTCAACTTATCCAGTGAAACAACTTTGGTTTCTGTTAACAATGCAACAATCACATTTTTCGACAATGCATTGCCTCGACCTTGGCGAAATTCTTTCGACAATGCTTGTAACTTTGATGTTTGCTTTGTTGCTGGCTATTTTCTTGAAAAAGCACTTGTGTAAGGTTTAATCACTGCTTGTTCAGTGTCCCTCCGTTGGGTTTCATAGAATGTTTCTTATTGGTAGATTAGACATGTACCAGTAACTATTTTGTTTGCTCATCTAAGGAATTAGATTGAGTTAATAAACTATTCAGGCTCAGGTTCACAATTTTGCTTTTGTTAGCATTCTCAAAAAGTAGTTTATGACAGAGTGAAGAAATTAATCAAGCAATTATTTTGTTTATTTCCTATGATATTTCAAACAAGATCATCTCTTTAAAGTGTTACTACAATATGTTCTCATTCCATTTTGTTACATATTTTTTGCTTTTCAATAAGAATCGCTTGTTTTTATCTTCCGTCTGCGGTGTCATACCAAATTACCATTTGCCTACACTTCCATAAATGCTACTCGGTTAGCTCTATTATACATCCGGCCATCCGGGTGTAATTTTACATTCTTGCACATTCTCAACCCTTAGTGAGGGTGTAATTTGACCGTGATGCTAGTATAGTAGGGTCACAACTCACAGGGTCCATGCAAGCAATTATGATAAAATTGTGATGTTGAAATAAATAAATGATGAGAGTTGAAGAGTCAATACGATGTGATGTCAAGGCTGCTAAATAGCTAATAGTACATCTGAAAGAGTACAAATCTCAATAGAGATATTTTAACCAATTAATTATCACTTGCTTAAATAAGGACAACAGTAGATTACTAGTAATCTCCTGTCAACTTACTTATTATCATTAATCTTTACATAAATTATTGGTGTTATATTCACTATTCAGGATCTGATTTGTCACCATACTTGCCGTCTTGGTCTGGTATGATTTAAGCTTCCATTTCCTGCTTAGATTCTGAATTTGTTCTGTTGGAGTTCACTACATATATTTATTGCAAAACAAGTTTGAGGTTGTGGTGTAAAACTTAGATTTTGCTGTACTGTAATCTGTAGGTAGACTGCTGGATATGACTATTCTGAACAACGGACGCTAAACACAAATTCTGAACTTCTAAGTATGATGGTTTTTCTGCAAGTAAGTAGATTAGTTACTATTTTTATTCTGCTATCCTATTCATGCTTAAAGTTTCATGTTATAGCTGCCATAGGCAATTTTACTGCTACTCAGATACTCAAGGATCCTAAAACCATGGTTTCGAGTAATGGCGATTTCAAGCTGGGTTTCTTTACCCTTCCAAACACTAAAAATCGGTATCTTGGTATATGGTACAATAAAGTTTCAGCCATGGATTATATATGGGTGGCAAATAGGAACAACCCCTTGTATGATTCTTCAGGTGTACTAAGAATTTCCGAAGAAGGGAATCTTCAAGTCTTGAGTGGAGGGAAAGATGTCCTTTGGTCATCAAACATCTCATCAGAATTTGCATCTGGTACATCTCGAGTTGTCCATCTTTCAGATTCAGGGGATCTGGTTCTCCTTGAACTTAGTACTAACAGTAGTTGTAAAGATGGTATCACTGTATGGCAGTCTTTCGATCACCCTACAAACTCAATATTGCCAAACATGAAGCTAAGCATGAGCAGTTTCAACATGAAACACGCTTTACAATCTTGGAAGAGTCCTTCAAATCCATCATACGGAAGGTTTTCATTAGGCATTGATTCCCTCACTCATCCTCAAATAGTAATTTGGGAAGGAGATCATCCATACTGGCGAAGTGGTCCATGGAATGGCAATATTTTTCTGGGATTGCTCTATTCTGATCCGTCTAATAATTATGCTGATACCTATATGCAGCAAACTAACAAAGAAGAAGTTGATTTGGTATATACTGGTATAAACAAGCTGTCATTTTCACACTATGCATTTGAAGTTGATGGGTCAATAAATGAGGTATGGTGGGATTCTGGTATCAGGCAATGGCAGACAGTATATAAAGCTCCTGATGTTGAGTGTGATTTTTATGGCAAATGTGGAGCATTTGGAACATGCAACCCTCTAAAGTCTCCAATGTGTCGATGTTTGAGGGGGTTTAAACCGAAGAATGCAGAGCAATGGAGCAAAGGAAACTGGTCTAGTGGATGTGTTAGAAAGATGCCTTTGCGTTGTGGAACTGAAACGACCCAAGATGGCTTTCTTATGCTAAGAATGGTTAAATTGCCAGATCACGCAGAGTGGTTGACAGGACTAAATCCAAATGAATGCAGAAGCCAATGCTTGAAGAATTGCTCTTGTCTGGCTTACACTTATGATTACGGTGCAGGGTGCTTGTACTGGAGTAAACACTTAATTGATATTCAAGAGTTTAGTATTGGCGGAGTAGATCTTTACCTGCGTCTAGCAGAATCAGAACTAGGTAAATGAAAATCAAAATCCAGAAGACTCTCATTATACATTTTGCCTTTTAGGTTCATATTCGTCTTATTTATTTCTACTTTTCCAGGTGTTGTTTTCTGCTTCATACATGCAACAGCAGAATAACTTCTATAAGCCTTACATATCAGAGGAAAGATTCATACTCTTTGTTGTTTATTCTTTATTGGCAGGTAGCAAGCATAAACATAAAGCTGTTATTTATGGAGCAATAATTTCTGGAGCAACCTTGATTGTCTTACTTATCTGCTTCCTCTGGAGATGGCTGATTAAACCGAAAGGTAAACTGTTATCACTAACCACTTTTGATACTATTGATGAAAGTGTTGAACCATATTCTGAAAACATTGGCTATTCCTTAAGGTGCAAACAAAAATTATTGTTGCTTTGAAGCAACTAGCCTTGTAGTACACTTCTTCAGTAACTGTCTGGTGTTTAATTAAAATCTTTTACTTATTTGGAACAGAAAACAGAAGGAAGATACGTGAGAACATTAAATTTAAATATGATCGGAGATCAGCTGAGCTGAAAGATCTACCACTGTTTGATTTTGAAACCCTCATAGTTGCTACTAGGAACTTCCATGAAAGTCAAAAGCTCGGATATGGTGGTTTTGGACAGGTCTACAAGGTAAATTAATCACTCTTTTCCAGTTGCCACTAGTAGCAGGGCATTGGGATCTAACAAGCGTGAGTTGATATGCTGTTTATTTTTCTCAGGGAATATTGAAAGATGGCCAAGAGATGGCTGTAAAAAGACTTTCCACAGTTTACGGACAAGGCCTGGAGGAGTTCATGAATGAAGTGGTTGTAATTTCCAGACTTCAACATGTGAATCTTGTCAGACTGCTTGGATTTTGTATAGAAGGAGAAGAAAAAATGTTAATCTATGAATACATGCCTAATGGAAGTTTGGATGCATTTTTGTTCAGTAAGTATCGCTTTTTTTGTTTTCACCAAACTTCGTCATTAAACAATCTTCTGAGAATGCAATATCTTCACTTAAATAGATTTTCATAATATGATTGTCTTAGAAGCTTATATTTTCAAGGTAGTTACTAAGCCTGCATACCAATAACTAGATCCTGCCAAGCGACAACTTCTGGACTGGAGTAAACGCTTCAATATTATTGAAGGGATATGTCGAGGCCTTCTTTACCTTCACAGGGATTCTAGGTTAAGAATTATTCATAGGGATCTTAAACCAAGCAACATTTTGTTGGACAAAGAGCTCAATCCAAAGATCTCTGACTTTGGCATGGCTCGGATCTTTGGTCATGGCCAAGATCAAGAAGAAACCAGAAGGATAGTTGGCACATAGTAAGTCTTATATAATGTTTATCTCTGACATTGGTCTTGGACAACTATTATCTTTGGCTAAGGTGAACTAATCAATGTCTTATTGTAGCTCACTTCAAAATAACAGTATAGTGTTGTATAGTAATATTGCACCTTAATTTTGACCATGTATAATGCAGCGGTTATATGTCACCTGAGTATGCGATGGAAGGGCACTTCTCTGAAAAGTCAGATGTCTACAGTTTCGGTGTCCTACTGCTAGAGATTGTGACAGGGAAAAGGAGCAGTACCTTCTGGTTTGAAGAGCAATCCTTAACGCTCATAGGCTATGTAAGTCTTGAATTTTTGGCTTGTTGCTACAAAAAAAATTCTGCTTTCCAGAAAATGCTTGATCCTCTGAGGAATTGATAGTATCGTGATTTTTGAAATTTCAATGACTTCTGATTTGAGATAGTCATACAATAACTATTGTAAGATTGGGGTAACTCCTAGTGTTTCACAGTGAATAATTTTGAGACAATCTCACTTAAGATTTGCTTGATATGCTGTATACAGGTATGGAAATTATGGATTGAGGGTAATGTCGCTCCAGCAGTCGACTCTGTAGTTTCTCATCCAAATTTCAGAAAGGAGACTGAAAAGTGCATACAAGTGGGTCTGCTGTGCGTTCAAGAATATGTGAATGATAGGCCTAATATCTCTACTGTTATCTCGATGCTTACAAGTGACATTGAAGACCTTCCATCCCCTAAACAACCTGGGTTCATTAAACGTTTGGCAGCTACTGGTACTGAATCTTACCAATCGCAACAGAGTTCCTCCGTAAATGATATGTCTATTACAGGTCTGATTGCTCGATAAAAATAGATAGCTAGTTGTGGTAATACACCAAACTCTCTTGAACATTCATTGTAATGATACTTCTGATAGCATTCCGAGCTCTTTTGATGCTACTTTGATATTCCGAGCTCATTTGGTGCTTGAAGATCCCTTGAGAATACCAAAGGAGCTGGGAATGCAAGACACAAGATGTAAAAGGAATGGGGCTGCAAATCCTAGAAAAGACTCCAAAGAGCTTATTGTCAACAAATCTTAAGAAGATAAAAATCATAACTTCTCCTCCTTGGTGCTATGAATATGTACACGAATCTACATTGGATTTTGAGAGTATGATTTGACAAGAAATTGTAAATTTGCAAGACTGCATTGGATACTAGATATTGTAAATTTGTAAGATTGCATTGGATATATATTTGTAAGGAGAAATGATCTCAATTTTCTATTAGAAACTGAATAGTGGTCATGTTACCAAAACTTTAGAATCATTTATATTACAGATGATTATCGACCAGACAAATGTGTAATTGAGACATAATTGCTGCTAGATGAACTCTTTGGTCCATGTAATTGAGAGGAATCGGTGTCAGAAGAAACCAACCTTCTAATAAAGCCGGGTTGCTTAGGACATGGAAGATCTACTATGTCACTGACTATCATTGATAGTAGTGTAGAAGTGCTAGGCCTGTCTCCTGGAAATTCTTGTACGCATAATAACCCTACATGGATGCACCTTAAGATCTCCGGCGAAAAGGTTGGTTCAGCTATTAATGGATCAATTACAGGCTGAAGGTCATCTTCATTCCATAATTTCCATACCTAAGAATAATTGAAAACAAATCATCAGAAACCAAGAAAATATAAGGTCAGAAATCTAGTAGTCCTATAACCTTAGAAGCACATAATTTATATGGTTCAATTTCTAGACTTACATATCCTAGAAGAGTCAGTGATTGTTCATCCAACCAAAAGTTATTATTCTTTTTTCCTGTCATAATCTCCAGTAACAGCACCCCAAAGCTGTAAACGTCAGATTTTTCAGAGAAGTGACCTTCCATTGCATACTCAGGAGACATATACCCACTGCATTTTGGAAACACAAACACATTAAGAAGTTTCTAAACTTCGAAAAAGAAGAACAGCTCTGAAGTTTGAAATAAAAGGGAAGAAAAAGGGAACTGGAGAGCTTACTATGTTCCAACTACCCTTCTAGTGTTATCTTGATCCTGTTTATTTTCAAAGATACGTGCCATTCCGAAATCTGATATTTTAGGGATAAGATCCTCATCCAACAATATATTGCTTGCTTTTAAATCCCTGTGAATAATCCTTAGTCTAGAATCTCTATGAAGATAAACCAGGCCTCGACTTATGCCTTCAATGATGGTGAATCGTTTCTCCCAGCTCAAAAGCTCTCGCTTGACAGGATCTGAATATTGATATAAAATATTAAATACTTCAAGAGACATGCCAAACATGAAGCAAGACGCGTGAAAGTGAAATTAAAGCAGCATGGTACTTACCAAACAGAAAGAAATCCAAGCTCTTATTAGGCATATATTCATAAATAAGCATTTTTTCCTTATTTTCTATGCAGCAACCTAGAAGTTTAACAAGGTTCCTGTGCTGCAGCTTAGAGATAACCACAACTTCATTCATGAACTCTTCTATGCCTTGTCCTGAAGCAGCAGAAAGTCTTTTCACTGCTATTTGTACTCCGTCTTCCAGTGTCCCCTGGAATCAAGCATAGACAAAATATACATTATTGACTTCAGTGATCATGATAAAGTACTTGCAACATTAACTATTGTTATACCTTATATACTGGACCAAAACCACCTTGTCCAAGTTTATTGCTATCTTGAAAGTCTTTTGTTGCAGTTGCAAGCCTTTTGAATTCAAACAATGGCAACTCTTCGAGTTGAACTTGGTGTCCATTCTCATCATGCTTCAAATTCTCCAGCTGTTCATTCTTCCTTTGAGCTTTTATTTCCAATGTAAATTAAGATTAGAAGTGACATCTTGTTATGGTAATTAATTCCACAAATAATAGAGTTGATTTTCTACTGTCTAGTTACCACCAATACAGATTATACTAAAAAAATAAGGTAAAAAGAACAAAGTCTCTTAACCATTATTCAAATTATCAAGAAAAAATAAGGAAATTACTTGGAGCAAGATAACATTAATGTTTTAAATAATCATGTGAAAAGAATGTGCTCTTATAACTATAAATCAGGACATGTCAGGCTAGCTATCTTAGTTTATTTGATGCAAAGGCAAATACCTACATTAACATTCAGAAAAAAAAAAAAAAAAATAAAAAAAAAAAATAAAAAACACTCCGTAATAATAAAGATCTGGAGCTACCTTTTCTTTGTGTCATAATTTTCCACCGGATGAATAATGTCAAAGCTGCAACTCCAATAGTGCCTAAGATAACTGTCACTATAATAACAACTATTTTCTTATTACTGGTACCTGTGAGGCAGACAGTTGATATTTTTCATTAGTGAACTCTGAAATATAGAGTTGTGTAGATTTTCATGGCAAGTTTTTCAACTTCAAAGGGAAAGAAATTATGTACTGTCTGATTGAACAGATAAATAAGGAAAAGGTTACCTAGCTCTGAATGTGGTAGGCGAAGATAAAGATCTAACCCGCCACTTGAAAATTCTTGAATATCGATCAAGTCTTTACTCCAGTACATACATCCAGCACCAGCATCATAAGCATAAGCTAAACAAGAACAATTTTGTAAGCATTGGCTTCTGCAGTTAACCTGATTTAGTCCCACTGACCACTCTGTATGGTCTGGCACTTTAACATTCTTTACCGGTAAAAACCCATCATCTTTACCACCCTGAATTCCACATTGCAATGACACCTTTCGTACACATCCGTTAGTCCAGTTTCCTTTCTTCCATTCCTCAGGATTCTTTGGCCTGAACCCTTTCAAACACCTACAAACAGGAGAACTTGTAGGATTGCAACTTCCAAACGCTCCACAACTACCATACAAATCACATTCTGTTACAGGGGCGCCCCAAACATACTGCCACTTCTTTCCATCCCACCATTTCTCGCTTATTGTTCCATCATAGCTGAAAGCGTAGTGAGAATAGGCCAGAGTACTTGCACCAGTATAGACAAAGTCGATTGTTCCATCTTTGTCATTCTGACGAATATAGGTGTTTGCATAGTTGGTAGCTTCATCAGTATACATCAATCCTAGAAATATATTCCCATTCCAAGGACCACTACGCCAATGTGGCCGATCACCATCCCATATAATTACTTGAGAATGAATGAAAGAGTCGGTCCCAACAGAAAATCTCCCAAATGATGGGTCAGAAGGGCTCTTCCAAGGTTGTAAAGCATGCTTCATATTAGAATTGGAAATAATCAACTTTGTATTCGGCATAAGAGAATCCGTAGGGTGATCAAAGCTTTGCCAGACCATAGTGCCATTGGTACCAGAAGTAAACAGAACTAGATTCCCGGTATCTAGAAGTTGTGCTGATAAAGAGGCATTTGCTGCAGTGACAGACATATTCGACGACCAAAGGACATCATTTCTCCCATTCAAGACTTGCAGATTTCCATCTGCAGATACTTTCATTACACCAGAAGAATCATTAAGCGGGTTATTTCTGTTTGCTACCCAAAAAACATCATTTGTAGGTACCTTGTTAAACCAAATCCCAATATACCGGTTAGTGCTATTCGAGGGGCTGAAGAAGCCCAACTTAAAATCACCATTCTTTGAGACTATAGATTCATGTTCTTTCAGAAATATTGATGATGTGATGCTGTCTATTGCTATGCATAAGGTACTAAAGTAGCAGCACAAAAGAAACAGAACATGTATAGAAGTCTCCATTAGCAAATGTTGATATAATCCTGTAAAATTAACACCAAAATGAAATAATAAGCATAATAACACAGTTACATACAGCACCATGCTGCACACATTTGGTCAGTTAATGTCTTGGTTAGACCGCGATTTTATGTGATTTTGTTTGATGTACAAGGTGCAGTGAGCCATTGAGGTACTACCTCCATTTTTATTTTATTTTTACTGCAACCTGTTGATTGTGCAGAGTTTTAGCTGATTGAATTAAATTTTATCAAAAGATTATGTATAGTGGACTAGTAATTTATTCAACACTAAAAATATTGATTAAGTAACCAAGTGTAAGACCATGTTAACTTATCACAAAAATGTCCAAAAAAAAAAAATCTTTATGTAAATACAAAGTAGCATAGTCTTTTACTTAATTACACAAAATCAATAATACCCGTAATTTTTAGTCAATCAATAAATGTTTCTTTCTAATATATTATTAAAAAAAATACACCTGGTAATTATTTAAACTTATCGTTTTAGCAATCTTGGGTTGATATGCTTCATTATATTGTAATAGTAATTCCGTTGACTAAATATGACAAAAAATTCAAACTTATTTGACTCGAATTGATCTGTAATTCAGCCATACATATGTATATCACTCAACATATTTGGATCCATACTCCCTTCATCTCTAAAAGTTCATCCTTATAACTGTTTCTGTAAGATAATTACCATTCAAACAAGGTTGAAAACGGGATAATATCTAAAAACAATACGGATAGAAGGAGAGAAAAACATACCATAGCGTCTTCGTAGTAAGATACGTTGTGGTGATGAATGGGGGGGTGGTGGAGAAGTGGAAATGGTGGCCGGGACAAAGTGCTTCACGCGTAAAGCAGGAAGCAGAGAATTTCCACAACTTTGATTTGGAAATAGTATGAACTTCATCATTTCCCTTCTTTTTATATGCTAGTGCAACTTGCAATTCTATCATCATGTATTCATGTCATGGCTGCTTTTAAGTCTAAACGTTTTTTTTAAGGGTTTCTGTTTTTTGCACTACATACATTTTTTTTCCTTTTTGAATATTTGGCACTACATACATACGAAGTAGAAATTAGCTAACTTACGTATTTCTTAAGGCGTAGATAAATTACTCCGTACTTGTTTGTCCTTCGAGGAAAATATTAGATTTTCATATGTGTACAAGATCTATTTTTTTCATAAGAAAATGACACAATTTTTTAATTTAATTGCATTGTTTGTACTAGTTGGATAGCTTTCATACACTAACTAGTCACCAATATTAAGTTATGGTTGACAAGCATCAAGAAACTGGTAATTTACTAGAATTAATTGTTCATGCAAAACGTATAAAATTAATTAATTGTTCCTGCAAACGTGTAAAATAAATGGATCTTGCTAACCGCCCGGGGCATTAGATAACGATTTAGAATAGTACTTAAAATGGTATTAATTAATTTGGTAATGCATGTCAATCATGTGTCTATCATTGTTATTAATGTTTATTTCAGAGTTAATATTTCTGTTGAAATAAATGAAGAAAATGGAATGTTAACCTTGGCACCGGGGGCTCGATCGGGCGCGAGAGTAAAAATGATTTTCATCGTTTATTCGCCCTACCGGGTGGGAGCTCACCCTGTCAGGTGCGCCACCGGGCGAAGCTCCCAGGTTATCGTCGTTGGAAGTTCCAACTCTTTCTCTTCCCTTTCTTTTTGTAACTTTCTCTTAATTCCCAATTAATGGGAGGTTTAAGGGGTTGTTACTATGTTTTTTTTCCCTTCTAATTAAGAGCTTTGTCCCTTTGGATTCTTCAACTCTTGATTATCCCTTTCATTATATATTTCATGGTTGGAAAATCATAATACACTTGAACATAACCTTTAAACACAAGCTTAAACACATATTCTATATTGGGCATAAGTTACTCGGCTCCAACCTTTCACCCAAAAGTGTCTTTGTGTGGAAGTGGTGTGTTAACCTTAGGGAACATGCTGGTGAATGCAATTGTGCACCTCGGTTGCACCGGAATTTCGTTTTCAAGTCGGTGAATTTGCTTCACGACACATCGTCCTTTCCATTGTCATAAGATCAACCTTTCGATCTTATTGTTTACTTCTTATTGTAGACTTGAAATACATTTTACTTTACCACAATTTCTACTTTTATATATCTTATACAACGTCCCGAGGCGTTTGTTAGCTTTTGCCAAAATAAATTACTGAAATCCTAATGGATAAAAAAAATTCATGAAAGGTTTTGTAAATTAAACAAAAATAAATCTCAAAATTTTTGTGCGGAAAATTACTATACTTTTCTTGAAAAACAACTTTTTTCTATGAGAGTCAGACATCAAGTGATATGACATTGTGATAATATTAATCTAGTGCAAATTTATAATCTATCAAAGTAGCAAATTTATAATCTATAGAAATATTGTTATTAATAAAGATGTTGACTTCTCCAGATGAGAAAATAAAAAGGTTACTATATACTTCCTCCGTTCTTTTTTACTTGACCCGCTTTAACTTTTACACTATTCACCGCCCCTCCTTTGACCGTGTTTTGTGAATAATATGTAAGGAAAAACATATTTATGTTGGATCATTTTGAATTCGTTTTAATAAGTACTATCATAATGTATAACTTTTATATTTTTTAATTATGGAGAATTAAAGTTATTGACCGTTAAAGTTTTACATTGGCAAGCGTGATAAAAGAAACAGATCCAAAGTAAAAAAAAACAGAGGAAGTACTAATCTAACACATTGATGAGAAAATAAAAAGGTTACTATAGTACAATAACAAATTAATAAAGACAATTATTCAGTAATACAAGACACAAACTAGGTAGCACAGCATGACAACATGCACCAACTGGGGTTTTTGGATTTTATCGATGACCACAGTTTGTCCAATCACCATAAAATACGGGAGTATTAATAATCTTTCTTATACAAGTATTAGTTAACTAATAATCTATAAGACATTAATAAATGATATGTTACAAAAGCAGTTGTGTCGTAATGTGTTATGTGTACTGAAAGAAGTCAGGCAACCTACATTTTCAACATGACTTTTTGATTCAAACGAAACGAGTGAGAAACGACCTAAACGAGTAGATCGAATCAATATTATATACGAAGTAGTTAATATAACTTGATAAATGATGACTATTTCTGGACATTACAATTCCCTCCAAAATCACTTTGGACTATGCAACAAACAGTGTACGTAGTTTGCTGTTGACAATTGCATAGAGTTTAATCTTGTTAGTTATTATGGAGTAATCGGATTAATAAAACATTTTATCGATTTTACTTCAAATCGGGTAGCAATTGGATGTATAAATAGCTATCGTATGTAGTATATAGATGGATTGATTTGGGATAAGTCAAGACAATTTCTTTTTTTTTTTTTTTTTTTGACAAGACAATTTCAATTTGGTGAATGTTTATATAAGTTTTAACTTTGAAGATATTAGTTGAAATATGTTCGGAATTGTTCAATTGGGTAGACTAATTATAACGGAGTAATACTTTCTCACACACAATATTATAACCTTATTTTGCCACAAATCTGACATGCTTAATATCATAATAGTTAAATTCAAGCTAACAAAATACATTAAAACATGGAGAACTAACATCTTTTGTGGATTGAGTAGAGAGATGTTAGAGAGAGAAAGTGAGAGAGAGATTTTAGGTAGTATATATAGGTAGTATCCTGGCTACAGACAAAGGTCCAGCTCCGCCGCCGGTACAGCCGCTCGTTCTCCCCTCCCTCCCACCTCCAACCAAACCGCCAGACCCCCCACCTTCAATACCTGTAAAATCGTTCTCCGAAACCCTCCTTGCTTCCCAACCTATTACCATTAACCCTGCTGACTTCCCTTCCCTATGTTCGCCTCCATCCGTGACTTCCATCTCTAAGGATGACATTGTCATTCCCATTCCTGCTGATTCAATCAACGCTCTTGTGTCTCCGTGGCTTCACGCTATTATCTTTAAGATAATTGGTAAATCCTTATCCTTTGATTACTTAAAATCAAAACTCTCTTCCCTCTGGAACTTCCAACCGGATGCAGCTATTCAATCCCTTGGCAGGGGTTTTTATGTGTTAAGTCTACCTTCGTCCCAAGAGCAGAGCAGAATTTTATCGGGAGGCCCTTGGTTTATTGGTAAATTCTTAATCCATGTTCGGCCATGGAAAGCGGGCTTTGTAGCTTCAAAGGCGAAAATCACCTCTGTTCCTGTTTGGATTACTCTCCCGGAACTCCCAATTGAACTTCACAACTACCAAATCCTTCGGAAGGTAGGCAACTCCATTGGCTTATTCATCAAAGCTGATTCCTCCCCATCGATATCGAATCGATTCCAGGAAGCAAGAATCCTTTGCCTGATTGACCTTGAAGCTAAATGAAAGCATTCTGTTTGGTTGGGAGCTTATAAGCAAGTTCTCTGCTTCGGCAACATACCTCCTCTGTGTACCCTATGTGCTCCCATTATTTATTATTTATGCTTTATAAGCATGTTGGGTAATCCCACTATGCGGATTTGGTTTATTGATAAGGCCTTGGACTTTGTATGACCGGGTCTTTCCTTAATAATAGCCTTGTAAAATAAGGAGACTAGCTTAGGGGGTGTGCACACTTGGGAGAGGAATTGGTTTTAATATGAGGAATTGGTTTTAAAATAATTGGTATTAGTTTTATTGATTATTGATATTGGAATATTGAGAATTAATCGGTTTTGAATCATGAGTTTAGAATTATTGGATTAATTTTTGGAATTGATTTCAAAAGCATGTTTGCAAATAAATTGAGTTTAATTATCTTGCACTTATTGTACTTAGCATATTTTGCTATCTCATACTTCTTATTTGTTTTGGTTCGCCCTATTTACCGTAATGGTAAGCAGTGTTGCTTATTTTCAGGTGAAGTCAATAATTGATGCACGGGAATCCCGAGATTGATTTCAACTAAATTAGGAATATTTGGTCTTGTATTTAATTTTGAGTAATCATGACATTGGTTACTATTTATGGTTATTATTAGTAAAGAAGAGTATTGAAGTTTCCGCTGCAAAGTATTGGTTTATTTAATAAGTTTGAGTAGCCTTGCGTAATCACCCGGCGGGTAATACGCCTAAGTCTATCTCTACGGTATAATTATACGTATTATATTATAATGTCCGTAGAGGGAGATTTGGGGGTATGAAAATCACAAGGCGAAATGGCTGAAGAAACCAAGGGAAGAGAATAACATTCCATGGCTCAAGAAATGAACAATTTTTTTAAAAAAATATAAATAAATAAATAAATAAATAAAAGTAGCATTGAAAATGACACAAAATTTGAAATTTAAAGTTAAGGTTAAATCTAAAATGTATTTGAAATTCAAATGAATTTTCAACTTTAGTGGAATTTGAGGCCCATTCCACCAACCAATTAAAGGTTGTCATGTCATATTGTATGTGGGGACCATATAAGGGTGTAGAAGAGCCAAATAGCTCATGAGCACAATTAAAACTTCACTAGTGTGTGGCCCGAGCGATATTCCGGATTAATTTTTTTTAACACTTGTAATTGAATAGATATGTTCATTCTTTATTATTTATTTATTTATTCATTATTTGTATATAATTTATAATAATGTCTCATTAAACCTTTGAATAAATTATTATGGAACAACTATTGACTAATTATATAAACATGCTCTTGTAAAAAAAATTATATAGACATATTTTTTGTATGAAATTTATAATATAATGAAAATAAAGACATAATTATTATCAAAATAATTATATAACTAAAATTTATAACAATAGTTAATTTTCCATCCAATCCATATACTTATATATTTATGAGTCGAAAATTAAAACATGATTAATATATGGGTGAGATGGTACGACATCTAATGTATATTTTTGTTGCTGTGAGTTCGAATCTCATGATAAATATTTTTTTTTCGGATTTTTTACCAAATACCACTGAGTTTAAGCAATTAAGCTTAATTCACCGTATACCACCAAAAACTTTGTAATACACCTTGTACCACTCAGTTACTGTACATTAACACGAAATGTCTTTTTCCTTAACTGCCGTTAGTCTGCCGTTTGAGGGAATTTACCAATTTGCCATATACCACTACTGTGAAAAGTTATTTCACCATATACCACTATTTAAAAGTTATTTCACCACTTACCCATTATTTTGTAACCGTAATATTTTTTTAAAAAAATAACCCTTGCACACTTGTAACGAATACTTTGTTTATATAAATGTAGTGTTTGAGGGAGATACTTATCAAGTCACACTTCTAAAAGCTAGAGTTAAAATGTAAACAAACTTTCATTGCTAAAAGTAATATGCAAGTTGAATTGGTAGCCGTTTGTCTTCAAAAAATTTATGGCTACATGATTTTGCAATGGTTGTAATAAACAAGTTTGTTGCAAAATAACTAAGTTCTTAACATTTTGTCCAAAAAAAACCTGACACAAGTTTGAAATGTTTTCCCCAAAAAATTATACATAATTTATGGCAGCTTCAAGAATTCTAACTATCAGCCTTTCTCTTCCTCCCTCTTCCTTTGCCTTGCTGTGAACTGGATGCTGCATTTTCTGCTTGTTTTGCTGCTTCCTTTCTTGCCTTACAGGTTTTTGCATTGTGTCCCAACTCCTTGCAAAGACTGCACTTGTTGTTCTTGTGCCTCTTTCCTTTTCTTGCTTCATGAGGTGCTCTCCTTCTCTGCTTAGCTGGTCTGCCCGCAACTCTTTTGACAGTTGGAGTCAACCCTATTGATGGCGCCAGTTTGATGTATAAGGGCAAATTGGTAAATTCCCTCAAACGGCAGACTAACGGCAGTTAAGGAAAAAGGCATTTCGTGTTAATGTACAGTAACTAAGTGGTACAAGATGTATTACAAAGTTTTTGGTGGTACATGGTGAATTAAACTTAAACTCGGTGGTATTTAGTGAAAAATCCGTTTTTTTTTAATCCGCCACTAACTTTACCAATAACCCAATTCACCACCCCTCGCTTCTTCGGTCTTTCGTTCTCCCTCCCTCTTTTCCAAACGGTCTCTAACACCATCGTCACCTTGCTTACATTTCAGTTTTAAATTCCAAATTCGAGGGGATGCTCTAATTCGGTCATGTAAAGCATAATTGATGTCTGAAAAGGTTTGCTTTCATTTTTCCTTATGATTTATATATTTTTATTTATTTTCCGAATTTTAGGGTTTATGGGTAAGAGATTTTTCTTGGTTGTTTGTGGTGGGTTTGGAGGTAGAATCTGGGTGTAGGGCGGTTTTGTGGGATTGGGGGTGGTTTTGGGTGGCTCAAATTCACCATTCATCTATTTAAAAGTCCAGACCAAATGATATGATTACCCTATTTGATTGAAATTTATATCACAATTTCAGTCATTTCACCATTTCATTCCGGACAGAAGAAGATGGATTGAAATTCACAATGTGGGCTCAGGTATCATGAGGTTACTTCATTAGTGTGATATGGCGTATGGGTTATTCGGTCGGTGTTACAGGTTTAGTGTGGTTACTTGTTGAGTGTTAAAGGGTTATTCAGTAGGGGCTTATTATCTGTTTTTCTTGAATCATATGTACATGGTACTTCAGGATTAAGGCTTTGGTATTGTTATTGTATCTTGTATGGTTTGCTACCATTATAGATCATACTAGAATGGACGAGACCAGATCTTTCAATTTTAGGGAGCTAAATAGTACCCTTAGTTTCACCCGTCTTAGATGTTTGAATTCCTTGTCTGACCAAAATAACACCACCAACTTTGTTTTATGCCTGTTCCATGATTCAGCTGTTTGGATGCTTGGTTTTAGACTTCCTTATTTACGAGTCGAATTTTCATTACTCTAACTCTCTAAGTACGTAGTACATATTTTCATAAGGGACACCTTGAGTCTTCTGAGTTTGAGCTGGTTTGTTTAATAGGAATTTAAAGTTGGGGTAAAATTGTGATTTAACTCTCCTAATGTCTTAGTATGGGCAGTGGCGGACCCAGGAATTTTCGACTGGTGAGTCACAATCGATAACCAAATATGTAAAATTTTTTTTTACCAAACAACCAAATAATAGTACTAAAAAATACATTCAAAAACCCAGAAACCATATATCCTCTGTTCTTGTACCCTCTTTCTCAGAAGCTAAAAAATAATTGTGCTCACATATTTGTTTCTCAAATTAGAAGCTTATGTTACCGTGTTTTCTTGATTGTAGTCCATTAAAATTATTATCTGCATTGTCCTATTATTTTCCTCTTTGCTATATTCCCTCCCATCACATTTCCCCTCCCCTTTACTCTTGCTTTTCTTCCTTGATAGTTGATGCATTATATTTATGAGACAGTCTGATTCGACTTCTGCTGACTTATTGTTTCTTGCACCTGTCGCAGTCTGTCTGATTCAAAATCTTGTGCAAACTCTGAAGTGTAACAATACAAAGCAAACACCCCTCAGAATTCTCCGTTGCCTCGTTGGTTACTCTGTTAATTGTGTATGCTACGTGTTGTAGTTTCATTTTAGTCTTTGAATTATTTTCGTTAATGGAAGGAACATTTGATTGCAACTTAGAGTCTCTGTCAGCTGGCATATATGAGTTGCCTGGAGAACCAGCAGTTGTGATTAATGGTGTCCCTAATTTAACTGCGGAGGATGGGAATATAAATCAAGGCATTCTAACGACAGTAAGACTCAACAAATCTGCTTCTGATGTCAGTAAGCCGAGAAATACAGGTTTTGGTGAATGGCTGGAGGGAAGAAAAGTGCAAAAATTGTTTGATCATAAATATTATCTGGGTAAAGTGACTGAATTTGATAAAGAAACCGGCTGGTACAGAGTTGTCTACGAGGATGGTGATTTTGAAGATCTTGAGTGGCATGAGTTGCAGGAGGTTCTTCAGCCATTAGATATAACCATGCCTCTGAAATCATTGGCGTTGAAGATCATTCACAAAAATCAGAAATCAGAGCCTGGAATTGAGACAAATGCTGTTCCTGAGAGAAAGAGTGGTAGTAAAACTTGAGGTCGTAGAGGTAAGCCTTCAACAAGGAATTTCGTTGGCAGAGGTTAACGGATATGTTGCGGGCTAATGGGCAAAAAGACAGCAACTGGCTGAATTTGGACTTGCTTGGGTTGTGAACATATAGGCCTGTTTAGAAGTTCAGAACATCTACTTACCTTTTGAATATGCTATTGTACAATTGGGCGGGAAAATATATCCGACACTCAAATTTGCTCTGCAATGCAAGAGGGTCTAACTTAGGTTGATGAAGGGGGAGGTCCAGTGTTTTATAAGATGTACACGCCTACCACCCACGTCATGTAGATGTAGCTTCCTCTTTAATATTGGCAACTTGGCGCTGTATACTGCTTATATGTTGAGCCTTGTTTTGCTTATATGTTACTCCGCCTCTTTGCATATAGTAGTGATTTCTGTATTGCAACAGTGTATCATCAGGTTTGATGAATTCCAAAACTAAGATTGTTTGCACTCAAAAAATGTATAGGTTTGAGATAAGTCATTGCATGAACTATCTCATTGATCTCAGGGATTCTAGGATCTCAATGCTACCGAGATTGACTAGAACACACACGACTCTTTCACTGGGCTATACCACTGCTCCTTCCTTAAGCAGCAACCATACATACTCCTAAGGCTTCACCTGATGCATTGATGTGCTTTTAGCTTGAATACTCTTGATACTGTAAACCATCTACTTGGTTGCCTCAGCCCGTTGTATCCTTAGCTTAGTCGTGTACTCGTGTGTATACAATTACTCCTAATTCCGTGTAAACTTATTGAAGACTGGATTCATAACTAGATGGAAGCAATATGGATATCATACAGAGACATGATATTATAAAGAGATCCACTATATTTTCGTCTACTTTTGTCCTTGTAGGGATGGCTAGTAGCCATACACTTAAGGCTCGAAGATAATGAGACTCAAACCCAGAGCAAACTAATGCTCATCAAAATGCACAAAACACTCATACTATTTAGGCACATACCAAAAAACTTGACATTACAAAATAAATGCCCAATAATGCAACCTATAACTGATGGACTTAAAGCCCGTTCTATGTATAAGGCTTTTAATGTCATGATTCTAGGCTTGATATAAAACCTTTCCTTACTTAAATTCCAATCCAAATACTACGTATATCATTGAACTTGTTTATAATAAACACCCAAATTAACGTTCTCTATCCTCCATTTCATTTCACCGTTCTATGCTAGTGGGAAAAATGTTCTATGATGGCCCCCTTCCAGGACGGCCTCTCAACGGGAAATCTTGTTATAAATGGTCTTTTACGACGGATTTACAACAGTATTTCTCATCGTTAATGCACTCTTTTTTTTGTAGTGTGACATGAAATACTATAGTTACTATGCACTCGTTTAATTAAACAAGTCAGGTTAGTGTTGAGATTCCCAACATGAATTGACACGACCTAACCTCGACTGAAAAAAAAAATCCCAATGATTTATAGAATTTTTTTTATTAACTTATTGCATGAGAGTAATAATTCTTCATATAACACGACATGAAACAGACATGAAAATGTGGATTAGTGTCATGGGTTTTTGACACGCTTAATTAAAGTGGTCAACATGACACGACGTATATATTAAATGGGTCGAGTTAGTGTTGAGGTTCTCCAATCCACGACATGACACGATTGTCATCTCTACGTTCAACGTTGTTATCCTCCAAAACCATTCAATAACTACCTATTGTTCAATAATCATTTCGAACAAATAAAATATAATACTATAATAACTCTTATATCATTCTTAATACGGAGTATATCATTCCTTATAATAATATATTTGTATATCTCGTTCATTTACACAAGTACACTCTACTTAAAGTCGAATATAGAGTACGAGATATATTTGTATATCTCGTTCATTTACACAAGTACACTCTACTTAAAGTCGAATATAGAGTACGAGTAATAAATTCTTAATTCTAGTCTGTTTCAAAAAAATACAAAGACTTAAATGGACCTGGTTCACACTAATTTATTATGGACCTCTAACATTAATGAAACTATGGTTATTTTATTAATAAAAAAAAGTCCCTATAATAAAATGAAGGTCACTATGTTGAAAATAAAAGTCATTTTGGTAATATATAGGCTATAAGAGGTTAATTTTTTTAATGAAATATTTTATAAGGTCAATATAAATAATATAGGTCACTGTATTAAAATTAGGGTCATAACGTCGTACTTCAAGTTCACAATAGTATTACACGTTATACAACTTTTATTTAAGGTTACTATGTTAAAAATAAGGTTACTATGTTAAAAATAAGGGTCATTATGTTCAATATAATGTCAGTTGCGTGTGTATAAATCTCGGGTCCACAATAATATTATTGTGGACCATGTCCACGCAAGTATTTTTGTCAAAAAAAAAATTAAAATTAAAATCTGTATTCTAGTCTAGACTCTTGAGCATGAGAACCCTTGAGCCCTAAGGCGGGGTCTTGTTTCTTTTCCCTCGTCAAGTAAAAATATTATTCTCGCTTAACCATTTCAATATCATCATTCATTCATTTTTATTCAACACAAATTCAAGAAGGGGTTTACAATTTTTTTATGCGATCAAAATTTTTGAATATACAAACCTCACATTTCCTTAAATTCTCATTCATTTTGACTTAACTGGTAATCTAGATTTTCATTCTATGTAATTTTTACCATCTTTTTTATATTCTCTTAATCTTTGCTCTTGTTTTTGCAGGGATTTTTGTGGATTCAAATTACAAAATGATAGGAGAACAATGCAATGAAGAAACCCAAATTCAAACTTCTGAAATTTCCTCTCATATTCAGGTGTTAACTGAAACTAGTAATTTTAATAATTTTACTTCAGAAGATGAATTTGTTAATCAAACAAGCTGCTCTAAGAATTTCACATTCGAAGTGGGTTATGCAGCAGAAACCCTTTTGAGGATGGCTAATGATGTTTCTTTTTCGTCGATTAATGGCGATTTTGAGAGTGATTTTGTTGTAAAACATGGAAGAAATTTCAGGGGTATTAAGGGAGTTGGAAGAAAACTGGATTGTTTAAGGAATGATGATTGTGAACTTTTATCAAACAGTTTGAATGCATTTAGAAGGAGGAAACAGATGAGGAAAATTGAGTTGGGTTGTTCATATTGTGGTTCAACACATTTAGGAACTTCCTGTGATGATGGTAATAAAGTTGATGATTGTGAAAGGACTAGTAAGATGCTGTATAGGAAGTGTCGAAACGAGGTCGAAGATAATGGAGGGGATCTGATTACTCCGACAGTTCACAGACAGTTTTCGTTTACGATCATTCATCTTATGTCTGCTGTACGCTTGGCCCTTGTTGCTCCTAGTAGCAATGGTTCTTTAAGTTGTGATAAGTTTGCAGGAAATGATGACAGCAAAGCGAATTTTCCGAGCATTGATCATCAAGGTCTTTCGATGGATGAAATTGTTGAGCAGGTCAGATTAAGACCAGGAGACAGTCGAATTCTGCAAGTTGAAGCTCAACTTGAGGACTTGATAAGAGGGACTTTAAGGGTATTTTCGTCTGATTCACCGCCTTATGGAGCAAAAAGGTGGAGGAAGCTAGCTATTTATGATAAATCGCAAAAAGGCTGGCGTTGGGTTGGTCCAATACCTTGTTTAACATCAGAGCAGGATGATGGTTTTACTGCTTGTGCACCTAAAATTTGGGGTCTGCCAAAGAATATGCTGGTTAAAATGGTTGATTGTTTTGCTGATTGGTTTGAAATCAATCTGAATGCCCTTAAACAGCGCGCTAATCTCCCACCTCCTCCATTGTCTATGAGTTTATGTAAGATCAATTTTAAGGAAAGATTTTCAAGGCATCTAAAAGGAAAGGGCTGCTCTCCTACAATTAAGCCCTGCATAGGTGAAATCAGAGCATATTTTCGTGCTGAGGAAAGGGTTCGATACATGATTCCTGACTGGGCGTATGCATATACAGCAGCTGATGGGAGAAAATCTAGTGTTGCACCAGTAAGAAAATGTGGAGAGAAGATATCATCTAGAGCAAGAGACCATAATTTACTCAAATGTGATCGTCCTGCAAGTATTACAATTCTTACTATTGTGAGAGACGCGGCTGCTAGATTGCCTGGTGGAATTGGCATCAGAGGAGATGTTGCTGTTCTTGTCAGAGACTCGCAGTATCTGGTGGAGGGTATTTCAGATGAACAGATGGGTCAAGTTGTGAGTGGAGGTCTTGATCGTTTGCACTATGAACGTGATCCTTGTGTAAGATTTGATAGACAGCGAAGACTTTGGGTGTATTTACATGGAGACCGAGAGGAAGAGGATTTCGATGATGCAGGTAGACAGTCGACAATTATACGATGGACAACCAAAATCAAGTAGGAGGGCTTGTACAGGGGATAGAGGCAGTATATAACTATATATGACCGCTGAGGAAAGGAACAGAAATTGAATAGTTTGGAGTATGTCTGATGATTTCCCTTGTTTTTAATTATTGGGTGAGTCTTCATCATGCACAACTTTGGAATAGTATAGATAGGATACTGAATTAAATCTTGCTTTTTGTTAAAGCTTACCATCACATACCTTTATATGCAAAATATACACATGAGTACATTATTATATATTTAAATTTGCCCTGTCTTTCACCTTATCAATATGCTATGACAGAATGTGTCCTCTTGGTTGCATACGAGTTTAGTCACCCCAAGTTTTACATTTTCTAGTTTGCATACGAGTTAGTTACCCCAATTGCATTTGTCGCCTCAAATCGCAAATTATTATTGACTATAGCTCCTTGTACACAATTACAGCATTGTATGTATACAAGTTGTATGTATACTAGCTAGGAGTTATCTTATTCTTCTAATGGGCAAGTGTATATATGCAGTGATAAATAAGCTTCCGTCTATAGAAGTACTTGCATTGTTTCCGAATTACTACTTACTACGTCCTACTGTACATTGAATCTACCTTAAAAAGATGTTTTTTATTTTTTTTTATTGGAAGGAGCAGACATATTAAAATTCAAACGCTGTCTAAAACAGCTCCAGTACAAAGTTACACCCCACTACGGAGGGTCAAAATGCGGTGACTCAGCACCCAAATAGTTCCCATTAGGACTAATAGTAGCTACATTAGTAGAAAAGAAGTTCTGCTCCAAATTAGGGGATGGGGTTAATAAAGTAGCTTTACAAAGAAACACTTCTGGGCTAAAAACCCCAATTCACTGAGCTGCAAGACCCAACAACCTGGTTGCCCTGGCCATCTGGTCTATCTCCTGGATACTCCTCCTTGACACGTACACCACCTTGCATCGGTTCAGGCTTTGTCTTAAGTCCCTGCAGATATTTGTAAATTGAAACAAATCATCGGGGGGCATAGCAACAATTGATGCTGATAGTACATCTTTGACAATCTAACAGAATGGAGATATTTTCCCAGTTCCTTGTATGGCACCACTATAAAGCAAGC